AGCTGCCTGGGGACAATTCTGGGATGGGAATGGGAATTCCTGGAATGGGAATTCCCTAAGGGAAGGGACCTGCAGGGAGAAGGGAGAAGCTCCTCCCGTGTGTCCCTGAGTGGGATTCGTTTCTCTGCCGGATTTCTGGATCCCCAATTTTACCCCAAAATAGATTTTTTTTCCCTCTGCTCCATCAGTTTAACAACATCCTTGGGGGTGAGCATCAGTAAATAGAACAGGAAGCTGATCTTGATGGGGTTTAATTTCATTTTAATCAAAATAATACATGTCCAAAGCACAAGAAATGTGCTCAGAGTAGAAACAGATTTAATCAGATTCTGGAATTGGTTCTCCATAACAAATAGAACAGGAAGCTGATCTTGATGGGGTTTAATTTCATTTTAATCAAAATAATACATGTGCTAAGTACAAGCAAAGTGCTCAGAGTAGAAACAGATTTAATCAGATTCTGGAATTGGTTCTCCATAACAAATAGAACATTAAGCTGATTTCTGATTGTGTTTCATTTTAAAAACATTGCAATCACAGAAATACAAGCACAAGCAAAGTGCTCAGAGTAGAAACAGATTTCATGTATTTAATCAGATTTTGAAATTGGTTTTCCATGAACAACCAAACTCCCATTCCTGCTGGGATCAGAAGAGGCACCTCAGATTTGAATTCCTGCCCTGCTCTCAGCAGAATAAAGCACAGAAGGAACATTAGATTTAATTGAATCTTGTGTTCCAAAGCTATTTATCCCAATAAATAAGTTTAAAAGAATGGAAATCAACTGATTTTAACATATTTCCCCTCGATGTCTTCTCATTTGGGGCTAAAATCCAGTTTAAACCATTGTCCAAAATGGAAGTTAAAAGAAATGAGATCCCCACTCCAAACCATGAAAAGACATTTTTTTTCCCAGACACCTGCATTTTATTTAATTCTGTTTTATTTTCTTCATTCAATTGAATTTAATAATATTTCCCAAAGGTATTTATCCCAATGCACCCAGTAAAGTTAAAAGAATGGAAGGCAACAATTTTAATGTTCTGTCCCTTGATGTCTTCTCATTTGGGGACAAAAACTCTCTAACAGTTTAAAGTAGAAAGTGATTTATTTAAAAAATATGGATATTGATCACCAATATCCAGCTTGACAGACAAAAACTCTCTAACAGTTTAAAGTTAGAAAGTGATTTATTAAAACAATGTGGATATTGATCACCAATATCCAGCTGTGATGGACAAAAACTCTCTAACAGTTTAAAGCTAGAAAGTGATTTATTAAAACAATATGGATATTGATCACCAATATCCAGCTTGACAGGCAAAAACTCTCTAACAGTTTAAAGTTAGAAAGTGATTTATTAAAAAATATGGATATTGATCACCAATATCCAGCTGTGATGGACAAAAACTCTCTAACAGTTTAAAGTTAGAAAGTGATTTATTAAAAAATATGGATATTGATCACCAATATCCAGCTGTGACAGACAGAAACTCTCCAACAATTAAAATTAAAAAGTTTGTGTTGGTTGTGTGTGGGATCACTCCCAAATCCACACCGCAGCTTCCGGGTGATCACAGAGTCTTTTTATCCATATAAGTATTGGATACCCAAAATATAAATATATATTCATAATTCTGGTACATCCCATTCCCCGCTTCGTTTGCTAATTACTCCAAAAGCCATTAAGCATGTGTAATTTGTCCCTTGAGATGGGTCGGGGTCCCTTCCATGGGGAGGGGTCCCAAAATGAGGAAGTCAATGGGGTCTTCCTCCTTCTGACCTTTTAATTTCAATGCAAATTTGACAAATGAACTCTTGGTACAACTCCCATTGCTTGTCTGCAGTTGGTTTCAGAACAGGAGCCCCACAATTGTCTGATGTTCCTAAAAACTATTTATCAATTTATATTCTTGATTATAAACCCAGCTAATTAAACATTGTGCTGACAAGCAATCAATTATTACTTAACTACTAACTTTTAACTTCATCAAGGCCTACTCATTATTATTATGGTTGAACTCCCATTCTTTGTCTTCAATTGGTTTCAGAACAGGAGCCCCACAATTATGTCCCTAAAAGCTCTTTGTCAATTTATATTCTTGATTATAAACCCAGCTAATTAGACATTGAGCTGACAAGCAATCAATTATTACTTACTAACATCTTACTTCATCCCAAGCTAATTAAATATTGTGCTGACAAGCAATCAGGTATTACTTACTAACACCTTACTTCATAAAGTCCTGCTTATTTATTATTATATTTATTATTATTCTATTTCTATTTCTATTTCTATTTCTATTTCTATTTTATTTATATTTATATTTATATTTATATTTATATTTATATTTATTATTTATATTTATATTTATATTTATATTTATATTTATATTTATATTTATATTTATATTTATTCCCCCAAATTTACCTTC